AAGGTCCGGCCAAGGTCAGCAGCCGGTCGGGAGCCGAACTGCTCCCGGGTGTTGTCCGCGCTCCGGCTCATCCAGCCTTCCGGCCCCGCCCCTGGCAGCCTGGGCGTGGAGACATTTTGTCCCTGTTCTCGGAAGCATTCTGACACCTTTAGACCTAGGCGGCTTCTTTATCTCTTTGGACTTTCGTCTCCAACAACAGCACACCACTGAACTTAGGTGACTCTGAGGTGTTGGATTGCACAGTGCATTTCCTCGCAAACCAGACTGCCCTCATTCACTTCAAATATGTAGGATGATCAGATAATTTGCACCTAGGAAACTGCTGTGAGAAAGTTGGTGATTGACGTCATGAATTTCAATCTTTATGATACTGATGATCACGTAATACTCTGAGCATTGATTTCCTGGGCCTATAAGCAAGTCTGCTGCCTTGTCGACATAGTGCTTACTAGCGTTTGTTGAATGACTGAAGTTGGGTGAACTAAATATCTATGCTTTGGATCCCCTTGACTGTAATTTGGCAAAATTACATGGAAAAAACCTCAAAACTCATTTTTGTTTTCAGTGATACTCTTTAACCCACGGAGGCAGTTTCTTCTTCAACACAGCAGTGATATTTTGTGATTACATTAGAATAAAACTTCATTGAACTAATTGTGAGGCCGTAGAAGACCCAGTTCCTTAAACGTCCATATTTTCATTCTGCTAAATTGGGCTCTGATCCTTATTGAATTAAGTATTCAATTATATTTTGTGTGAAAGGTGTTTTTTGTTTTAACACATACTTAGTAGTTGTAACACAATTTGTGGAAAACATTTTCTTTTCCTTACTGAATTACTTCGGTGCCATGTTATTGAAAATTAGATGGCTATATGTGTACATCTACTTCTACACTGTGCCAAATAGAGTAGTTTTTAAGTCTTGGCACTAGTTACCTGTATGTTAACTATAGCTTTAAAGAAGTCTTGAAATTCTTTCAACTTTGTTCTTTTTTTCCCACAACTGTTTTGGCCACTTTTGGCACACAGTATTTTCCTAAATGATTGTTTTGGCTCCATGAAGTTTTAGGCTGATTTGTTGTGCAGCCATACCGACTGAAAAAACTATTTGAGGTCCTTTGCAGCTGCATATGAATTTTAGAAGCAGCTTCTCCGTTTCTAGATGAAAGCCTACTTTTTGACTGAGATTGCCACTCTACAGTGTTGTTTCACTTACCATGTACAGGTCTTGTGCATCTTTCATTAAATTTATCTTCCCGGAGAGAGAGGGATTAGACATTTTGTTAACTCTTTTTCCCTTTTTGAGCAGAGAAATCGCTTAACCTCTGAGTCTTCATTTATTAGTAAAATATGGTTTGATAAATAGTATCTTGTTATATACCTACTTTGTTCTGTGGATTTAATTAGATATACACATTTATTCCTTAGCGCATTGCCACATAAGTACTAAGACCTCAATTGAACATTATCTCTTATCTTTGCTGTCACTGGAGATCCACGTAATACTGCTGAGTAGTATTGAGTTACTCCTGAGAGAGACAAATGAAGAAACTCCAGTTCAGTTACGATACATTATTATTACTAACAGTTTTTCCTAGGTCCTTTAGGTTGTTTTTAAATTTGAGAGGAAAAACTAGAGTACTAATTCTGAATTCTCTAGGTTTTGTTTCTCTAAGATGTTTGTTGATTTTAGTCTGATTTTCAAAAGTTGCTGGTCAGAGTTTGAATTAATTTACTATTTAAAATAGATTAATATTTCAAGGGTCTTTTAACTATCTTGGTTACCTTAAAAGTTAGGAATGGTACTGATTTATTGTAAAACTATTTTCTTATTCAGTATCCTAATTCTTGTAGGAAACTTTGAGGGAAATTTTGAGTCACTGGACCTTGCAGAACTGGCTAAAAAGCAACCATGGTGGCGCAAGCTATTTGGGCAGGAATCTGGGCCTTCAGCAGAAAAGTATAGCGTGGCAACCCAGCTGTTAATTGGAGGTGTCACTGGATGGTAAGTCCTGTGAAACAGGTCCGGTATCTTTTTTTGTATGGTTCGATGTTGTGGTTATGGGAACTGTCGTCTTTAACCAATGAAAATACATTGACTTTTGTGAAATTGATCATTTAATGTATACCGTACATCTAAACATGTTAAAGTGCTATTTAATAGCTATGCATGGTCAATATTTACTTCATGCCGGGTACTCTTTTAAGTATATAGATATGTCATTTCCTTCTCACAACAACTTTGAAATTGGCACTGTTATTATCTATCCTCATTTGCACCCCCAGTCTTTCTGAGATGTAATTGACATGCAGCCCTGTGTGAGTTTCAGGGGTGCAGCATAATGATCTGACCTACGTACATCATGAAGTGATGACCACAATAAGTTGAGTGCGCACCCATCATCTCAAGTAGATACAACATTAAAGAAATAGAAAAAGACACTTTTGCTTGTGATGAGAGCTCTTAGGATTTACTCCCTTAACGACTTTCATATGTAACATGCAGCAGTGTTAGTTATACATCTGTCCTGCTGTACATTACGTTCCTAGTACTTACTATCTTATAGCTGGCAGTCTGTGCTTTTGGACTGCCTTCATCCAATCCCCCGCCCCCGTGCTTCTGTTAACCACAAATCTGATCTCTTTTTCTGTGGGTTGGTTTGTTTTTGGAGTATAATTGACCTATAATTAGATGTTAGTTTCTGGTGCACAACATGGTGATTCGGTTCCTCTATATATTTTAAAATGATCATCACAGTAAGTCGTTACCATCCATCAGCGTACAAAGTTATTGAATTACTACTGACTTTGTTCCCCGCGTTTCATCCCCGTGACTCATTTGTTGTGTAACTGGAAGTTTGTGCCTCTTAATCTCCCTCACCTGTTTCTCTCACCACCCTCCCCTCTCCACTATGACAACCACCTGTTTGTTCTCTGCATCTATGGCTGTTTTGTTTTGCTTATTCATTTGTTTTCTTTTTTAGATTCCACATATGAGTGAAATCATATGATATTTGTCTTTCTCTGTCTGACTTACTTCACTTAGAATGATCATTTCTAGGTCCATCCATGTTGCTGCTGCAAATGGCCTTTATTTCATTCTTTTTTTATGATGATCCTCTACATTCTTGTGAGCACTTGACATTGTCAGACTGTTACATTTTTACCAGTTTGAAAGCTGGTGGTATCTCCAGTGCTTTTCATTACATTGCACTACTCCCCTTTGATTAGGTCTGTATTGTGAACATAAGTGCTTTGTTGGTTGTACATATTGCAGATATTTTTACTCATTCTGCTTTCTGTGATTGTCTTCTCTTTCTTTTTTATTGAAATATAGTTGATTTACAATGTTGTGTTAGTTTCTGGTATACATACAGCCTAGTGATTCAGTTATACATACATATGTATGTACATACAATTTTTCATATTCTTTTTCATTATAGGCTGTTAGAAGACATTGAATATAGTTCCCTGTGCTCTACAGTGGGACCTTGCTGTTGATCTATTCTGTATATAGCAGTGTGTATCTGCTAATCCCAAACTCCTAATTTATCCCTCCCCCCCTTTCCCCTGTGGTTGTCTTCATTTCTTTTTTGGTATCTTTTGATGAACTGATGTTAATTTTAATGTTGGTCAATTTTATAAATGTTTACCTCAGTGGTTAATAATTTTTGTGTCTTATTTAATCTTTATCTACCCCATGTGATAGAACTTTGTTGTTGTACTTTTCACATTTAGATTTATAGACCCACCTGGACTTTTTTTGGGCGCTTGATGTGTGGTAGAGTCCTTTTTTCATCTTTTTTCCCCATGTGGAATATCCAATTGTCCCAACTCAGTTTATTGCATTTTCCTGCTGCTTTGCCGCTGCATACATCAGCAGCAGTGTGTGCGCAGCTGCAATCTTGTCCTTCTGGAACTTCTTGGCTAGTCTCTTTTTTTCTTACTTTGTTAAACAGTTTAATAAATTGGCATATCATAAGCTGCACCTGTTGAACGTATAGATTTGAAAAGTTTTGACATGTACACATTCATACCATCACCACAAGCAAGATAGTGAACATATCCATCACTCTGAGAGTTCCTCTTCCTCTCTGCGATCTCGCCCTCCTCCCTTTCATGCCCCCGTGGCCGCTGATCTGCTTTCTGTCACGATGGATCACTTTGCATCTTCTAGAATTATATATATAAATGGAATTATACAGGACACATTCTTTTTTGTCTGGCTTTTTTCTTTCACTTAGCGTACTAATTTAGAGGTTCATCTTTGCTGTTTTGTGTACCAACCAGTAGTTCATTCCTTTTTATTGCTGAATGGTCATCCACTATATGGATGAACTAGTTTGTTTATCTAGTCACCTCTGATGAATAATGGTTTGTTTCCACTTTGGGGCTAAAACTGCTATGAATATGTGCACAAATCTTTGTATGAACATATACTTTCAGTTCTTTTGGGTAAATACCTAGAAATAGGTTGACTCAGTCATAGTAAGTGAATGCCTTAACTTTTTAAGAACCTACCCGGCAATTTTCTAAAGTACCATCTTACATCTTCATCAGTTTCCACACATCCTCACTAACACTTGGCATAATGTCTTTTTTTTGAAGTATAGTTGATTTATAATACTATATTACTTTCAGGTGTACAGCATAGTGATTCAGTATTTTTCGTGATTATACTCCATTAAAAGTTATTACAATATAATGGCTAAAATTTCCTATGCTGTACTGTATATCCTTGTTGCTTCTTTGTTTTATATACAGAAGTTTGTACCTCTTAATCTCCATCCCTACCATGCCCCTCTCCCACCCCTCTCCCCACTGATCACCACTAGTTTGTTTTCTGTATCTGTCAGTCTATTTCTGGCATAATGTCTTTCTGCTTATGACCATCATAGTGGGTATAAAGTGATATTTCACTGTGGTTTTAATTTACATTTCTCTGATTATAAAGATGTTGAGCATCTTTCCACAGGTTTATTTTTACCATCCATGTATCTTTGAAGGGGCATCTGTTTAGATATTTTCTACATATTTTTATTGGGTTGTTCTCTCTCACTACTGAGTTGTGAGGGTTCTTTATGTATTCTGTATAAAAGTCTTACATCAGATATGTGATTTGCAAATATATTTTTCTACTCTAGTTTTATTATCTTGACAGTGTCTTTCAAAGAGAAGTTCGTAATGTTGAAATGCAGTTTATGAGCTCTTTTCTTTTATAGCTTTTGGTGTTATATCACCAAGATTTTCTCTTATGTTTTCTTCTGCATGATATATAGGGTTAGAATTTCATTTAGTTCCATGGTCCATTTTGGTTTACTTTTTGTATATGTTGCAGGGTAGGAATCCAAGTTCCTTTTTTGCATATATATCTGATGTGTCCACACAATTTGTTGAAAAGGCTATGCTTCTTTACACTGAATTGCTTTTGTACCTATGTTGAAAATCAATTGACTATATGTCTTTGTTGAATTGATTTGTCTATCTTGGTTCCAATATCACCCTGTTTCTGATTAAGGTAAGTTTATAGTAAGTCATGAGATAAGTTAATGTGAATCTTACAAGTGTGTTTTTCAAAGTTGATTTGGCTGTTCTAGGTACTTGGCATTTTCATATGAATTTTAGAATCAGCTTGCTGCCAATTTCTACAAAAAGCCTAACAGCATTGACCTATAAACATCGTTTATCTCTCCATTTGTTTAGATTTCTTTTAATTTCTCTCAACAATGCTTTGTAGGTCTTGCACATCTTATATCATATTTATCCATAAATATTTCGTTTTTTGGTGTTGCTGTAAATGCTGTTACTTTTAAAATTTCAATTTGTCACTGTTCGTTGCTTATGTTATAGAAATGCAGTTGATTTTTGTATATTGACCCTCACTGAAGTCCCTAGTTTGCAGAGTTTGAGGGTCCCCAAGAGTAGCCTCACGTTTGATGACTCCCTAGGAGCAGTCACAGAGCTTGCTGAGGGCTGCTGTACTCGTGGATACCATTTCTTACAGCAAAAGGGTACAGAGGTGCTTGGGGCAAAGTTCAGGAAGGTGGACTCTGTGTGTTTCAGCTGGGTTTCTTGTAGGCAGCATGTAGATGTGTCTTCCTTTTTTAAAATCCAATTTGACAATCTCTTCCTTTTTTGTTATTATTGGGTTTAAATTTATCATTTGGTATTCTCTTTTTTTCCTTTTGGATCAAATATACGTGTATGTGTATATATATATAATAAAAATAGGTATATTGTGTATGTGTGTGTGTGTGTATGTACCTTTTTTTTGGTTGAGGTGAAATTCACATAACAAAAAACTAACCATTTTAAAGTATAAAATTCAGTGGCATTTAGTACATTCACACTTTTGTGTAACCACCCCAAAATAAAACCCATCCCTGTTGAGCAATTACTCCTCATTGTCTTCTCCCCTCCACACACCACTTAGCAAAATGTTTTTGATGCTCACTCACATTGTAGTGTGCATCAGGACTTCATTCCTTTTTATGGCTTTTTAATTCATTTATTCATTTTTGGGCATTTGGGTTGTTTTCACCTTTTGACTCTTGTGAATGGTACTGCTATGAATGTTTGTGTACAAGTATTTGTTTGAGTTCCTGTTTTCAGGTCTTTAGGAGGAGTGGAATTGCTTGATCATATGGTGATTCTGTGTTTAAGAGTTTAGGATCATTTAACTGTTTCCATAGTGGCTGATCCATTTTACACTTTCATCAGCAGGGTACAAGGGTTCCAGTTTTTTTACATCTCACCGACACTTGTTATTTTCCTGTTTTTTAAAAACATTGTTATAGCCATCTTAGTGGGTGTAAAGTGCTGTGTCATTGCGGTTTTTATTTGTAGTTCCCTAATGACTAATGATGTTGACCATCTTTTCATGTGCTTCCTGGCCATTTGTACATCTGCTTTGGAGAAATGTTTATTCAGGTCCTTTGCCTATTTTTAAATTGAGCTGTTTGTGTTTCTGTTGTTGAGTTGAAATAATTCTTTATTTTGATACTAAACTCTGACCAGACATGATTATATTTTCTTCTGTTCTTTAAATTGTGTTTTCACTGTCTTGGTAATGTGCCTTGATGCACAAAAGTTTCTAATTTTGATGAAGTCCAGCTTATTTCCTCTTTTCTTTTTTGCTTGGATCACATATTTTTCATAATTCTGTTCATAATTTCTTTCTTGGTTTATTAGCTGTCTCTTAATTGTGTAATTTTAGTGGTTGCTTTAAAGTTTATAGGATACATCTTTTACTTACCCTGCTCTTTTGTCAAAAGATACACCACTTCACATAGAATACTTCCATTTTACCTCTTTACTCTTTGTTTTCATTGTCATGCATTTTACTTTTACATCTGTTATAAATACATAATACATTCTCATTATTTTCCTTAAACGTTGAATTCTCATAGTTTTTAATAATGAAAATGAAACCTTTCATATTTACCCCATAGTTTATTTCTTGTGCTCTTCATGCTTTTGTGTGTATCCAGATTTCCATCTGGTATCAGTTTCCTTTGCTTGAAAGATTTCCTTTAACATTCTTTGTACTTTTCTTCTGCTGATGATTTATTTTTCAGCTTTTATATATCTGAGAAATGTCTTCACTTCATCTTTGTTTTTTGAAAGCTATTTTTACTGGGTAAAGGATTCTAGATTGACAGAGTTCCCCCCACCCCCATACTTTAAAAATGTTCCATTATCATTTGGCTTGCATTATTTTCTGTGAGAAATGTGCTGTTTCTGAATTTTATTCCTCTGTACCTAATATGTCCCTCCCTCCCTTTCAGGCTGCTTTTAAGATGTTTCTCTTTATCATTTGTTTTATGCATTTTGATTGTATTGTATCTTTGTATAGTTTTCTTTGTGTTTCTTATGCTTTGAGTTCATTAAGCTTTTCAGATCTCCCCCCAGTTTTCATCAAATTTGGAATATTTTTCTCATTATTTCTTCAAATATTTTTTCTATCCCTCAGCAATTCCAATTAGACAAATTTCACTGCTTGAAATTTTCCCATAGTTCACTGACACTGTTTTTTTCAACCTTTTATTTTGAGGTAACTGTAGATTCACAGGTGCTTGTTAAAACTAACCCAGAGAGAACCCACATACCCTTCCCCCAGGCTTCCGCAGTGTATGACTGTAGTTCAGTATCACAACTATGTTCATGTATTTTTCTGTTTCATTTTGATAGTTCTTACTGTTATGTCATGTTTTACTAATCTTTTCTTCTATAGTATTTAACCTTGTTAATTCCATCAAGTGTACGTTCTTTCCTCTAGCTTCTTGAATACATAGAAGCTAGAGGAAGGAATACAGTCTTAAAAACTTCTAATGGTTTTGGATGCATTTGTGCCATTTCTAGGTTGCTTTCAATTTATTTATTTCTTCATCATTATGGGTCTATTTTCCTGCTTTGCATGCCTGGTAATTTTTAATTGGTTGGCAGTATTGTGAATTTTCGTTTATTGGGGGCAGGGTATCTTTTCTATTGCTGTATAATTGATTCTTGGTTCTTGTTCTGGGACACATTTACACATGGCTTAAAGAATTCCACATATGTTATGTTCTTTACAATATAGAACTCATTTTAAAGATAAAAGAGACTGAGAAGAAAATTACTAGAGTTTATATATACTCCCTTTTTTCTCCCAATTTCTTTGAAGGAGAAAAACACCTTTATCTATGATGTTAGGTTTTTCAAAAAAGGTGGGAGAAATGAGGGCTAGGTCATGGTCCAGCTGGTTGCATTTATCTCTGATTAAACAGTCTCAGTTGCAGAATGTCAGTTAATGCCTTCATGTGAGGGACTTAGGGCCAGTGGATGCAGGGTGCAGGCAATTTACTTCAGTTTATAATCAGATTTAAGAATTAAGATGAGTCCTTACTGTTTATTTACTAGACCTACCACCTCTACTTTAGAAGTCCCTTCTGAGATATATCTAGCTTTTGTTTAAGAACATTTAAAATCCTGGTGAGGTCTTCTATTTTAAGGTATATTTATTATTTTCTCCTACTGAGCTGAACTGTATCAAGGGGAAAGTGGTAGAAAATGAAGGCAGACAGGTAATGGGGAAATGGGGAGCCTAGACGTACGGGTAGGCTTTTACAAGCCGTCTTCAGGGCCAAGTTTTCTGGAAAGGACACACTTGTGTTTTATGTGCTCGCTGCTCCCTCCTTGCCGTCTCCACCGAATGCCTTCGCCCAGCCCGCCAGCCCCCTTCCCTCCTGTGCCACCGGTGCAGCCTGCACGCTGGAGTCTGCTGTTCTTCCTCCCCGCTTTGATCCATTCTCCACAATGTAGCCAGATTCATCTTTTGCAAACATACTTGGGAGTTTTAAGGGATTTGCTCAAGAGCACAAAATTAAGTAAGTAGAAGAGCCAAGAGTGGAGCCAGGGTCTTTCTGAGGCTTTGTGTCTGGAGAACGAAGGGGCTGGAACATCCCAAGGTGAGTAGGATCTGAACGTTGTTCCAAGTGCATGTTTGTGTTTATCTGACAACGTATTAACTTGTCTGATGTTGCTTTGGTTTTTGTAGGTGCACGGGTTTCATATTCCAGAAGGTTGGAAAGTTGGCTGCAACAGCTGTGGGAGGTGGATTTTTTCTCCTTCAGGTCTGTATGTGAACTGTTCCTCTCTGCTTGCTGTTCCACTGGTTTGTTAGGAATAGAACAGAGTGTGTGGCGGTGTGACACTGGGGTAGCCTTTGTACTTGTTTTCGTGTACTGTTTGACAAGGATCCAGAGCAGTTGGTGTTGAGAAGTGAGGGCTAAATGACACTGCAGTCAGATGTCCTCTGCTGTCTCTCCGCCCAGAGTTTATTTTAGAACCACTGGGTGCTGGTTTTTTGAGGCTGGTAGTAGCATTGGTTTGCAAACTTGACTCCATATCGGAATCACCTTGGAGTTTTAAAAAAACACGGATGCTTAGGGCCTGCTCCCCCCCCCATTTGATTTCATGGGGGTAGGTGTCCTTGTATATCAGAATATTTTTCAGAATTTGTTTTTTAATTGAAGTATGGTTTTTTTGTTAATGGAGGTACTGGAGATTGAACCCAGGACCTTGTGCGTGCTGAGCATGTGCTCTACCGCTGAGCTCTGCACTCACCCCAATTGAAGTATGGTTGGTTTACAAATGTGTTAGTTTCAGATGTACAGCAAAGTGATTCAGTCATATATGTACATATATATATACACACATATTCCTTTTCAGATTCTTTTTCATTATAGTTTATTAGAATATATTGAGTATAGTTCCCTGTGCTGTGCAGTAGAAGCTTATTGTTTTTCAATTCTATATATAGTAGTGTATATATGTTAGTCTCAAATCTCTGATTTATCTCCCCATGTCCTCCCTGGTAACCATAAGTTTGTTTTCTATGTCTGTGAGTCTGTTTCTGTTTTGTAAATAAATTCATTTGTATCATTTTTTAGGTCCTACATGTAAGTAATATCACACAGTCTTTGTCTTTCTCTGACTTACTTCACTTAGCATAAGAACCCCCTCCAGGTCCATCCCTGTTGCTGCAAGCAACATTATTTCATTCTTTTTTATGGCTGAGTAGTGCTCTATTGTATCTGTACACCACATCTTCTTTATCCAGTCATCTGTTGATGGACGTTTAGGTTGCTTCCATGTCTTGGCTGTTGTAAACAGTGCTGCTGTGAACATTAGGGTGCACGTGTCTTTTCGAATTGGAGTTTTCTCTATCGGAATCTTTTTAAACTTCGGGTGATTCTAATATGCAGCAGAGTTTGAGAACCACTGCTCTGTACGAGCCATACTTTGTTGAATTGTGCCAGAGTCTCTGGATTCGAGCCCTCATTTTAGCAAGGTAACTTCTACATGAGAATCAGAATTGGAGTGGGCTTTCCAGATCGGTTAGGTGAAAGTTAAATGTGTGGTGGAGGGAAGCTGCTGACTGATGGGCCAGGGATAGAGTTCTAGATTGACAGGGTCTCCCGCATACTTTTTTTCCTAAATTTTAGAGCAGCCTTGTTTAATTATTTTTAAAAGTTCTGTTTAAGTTGCATGGGAACCATATAGATACATTTGGGAAGAATTAATATCTTTTATGATATTGAGTCATCTTTCTGTGAGCATGGGCTTTCTCTCCATTTACTTAGGTCTTCTTTAATGTCTTTGCCTAAACTTTTATTATTTTTTCCATTTAGATCTTGTACATCTGTGGTTCAGTTTTATTCCTGTACCTTATAACAGCTTTAGTTGCTCTTCTGGCTTTCCTCAGGTACTCACCTTTGCCCTAAGGCTGTGTCCCGCTGGGCTCACAATGATACAACTACTGATGTAGAACATCTTTTCATGTGCTTATTTGCTGTCCAGATATCCTTTCTGGTGAAGTGTCTATTCAGATCTTCTGCCCTTTTTTAAATTGAATTGTCTGTTTCTATACTTTTTATTCTGTCCTGTTAATCTGTCTGTCTGTCTGTCTGTCTGTCCCTTTTTCACTATTTCAGTGTCTTGATTGCTGTAGCATTGTAGTAAATTTTAAAATTAGATAGTGTGATTCCTCCAAGTCTGTTCTTTTTCCAAATTATTTTGGCTGTTCTAGTTCCTTTGTCTTTCCGTACACATTTTAGAACCAGCTTGTCTATATATCTGTAAAACATCTTGCTGGGATGGGGACTGCAGTCACTGTAGCTCAGTTTGGAGAGAATTGGACCTCGGTTGTATGTTGAGCCTTCCATTCCATGCACACAGCCTGCCTCTCCATTTATCTGACTTCATTTGCAGGACAGTGTTGAATAGGAGCAGGCTGAGTGGACGCCTTTGGCTTGTTCTTAGCACTGGGTGTAAGCGCTCCGCCTGTGCCCAGGAAGCGCGGTCCGCGCTCGCTGCGCGTGTGTTTGTAGATGCTCTTTATCACGTTGAGGAAGTTCCTCCTTTATTTCTGGCTTTCTGAGAGTTTTTATCATGAATGTGTGTTGAATTTTGACGAAATGTTTTTGAGTCCTGCCTGGAGTCTAGGCCAGGTGATACTGGAGGGAAAATGGGACATGCACACCTCTGGCCTTCTCCAGTCAGATGCCCTCTTTGCCATCAGAATCTTCAAGTAGTTCTATGTACTTTGTCCTGTGGGAGACAGAGTGGAGTAAAGGAGTCAGAATTTTAATTTAGCATACAGTTTTTGAGATTCAATTATGTTGCTGCTATAAGTGGTCTGTTCTTTTTAGTTCTGAGTAATATCTTGTTGGGTAAACATGGCCCAATTTGTGTGGATGGATATTTGGGTTGTTTCCAGTTATTGACTGTTACAAGTAAAGCTGCTATGAAAAGCTGATAAAAAATGATAGTAGCTAATTAATTTTAATGTTAATTTCCTTGATTACTTGTGAAGTAGCTAAAACAGACTAGAGGAAGAGCAAGGACGTAGAAAAAGACTAGACAGTAGAGAAGAATTTCAGTTTTAGGTATTTCGAGATATCCAGGTAGAGCTAATTTGTCATGGAAGATTGGTGGACTGTGATCAGGCTCCTCAGTCCTTGGATAGCGCTGAGCTGTCAAGTATGACATGTACTTGAATCAGTTTTATTCTCTTCACACGTTCCTGATGAAATTGTTTTCTCTGTGTTTGGGCCTGCTGTCTTTCCCAAGGGAAGAAGGCATATTCTTAGGTATATTTGGATGTGCTTCTCCCGGTTCCCCTTAAATGAACTTACTCATGAGAGGCTCAGTGGGGTCATGTTCTGGAAGACTTCTTTCTGAGCAGCAGTGATCACTATGTGATAGCCTTGCTCTGTTCATATTGTCAAGAAACTCAGACTTATGTTGGCTTTAAGGTTTCTTTATGTTCCATTTGACTTATAATTCTGATTTTCATTTTGCCATTTTTTTAAGCTAACTTAAAACTTTATAGAGATTAGTAAGAGTATAAATACAGTTAAAGAATTGCCAGCAGTCACTGAAGGCCAGTTTGTTGATTTCCGGTGCCAGGCCTAGGGCCTTGCATGTACAGTGGGTGCTGAGTAGATGTTAAATGAATGTCATTGTCATACAAAAAACTGGATGGCAAGTGTCTACAAAATAGCAAGTAAGAAGGGTTTTTGACAATGTATTTCAGTGATTTATCCTGAGAAAGAGAAATAAGAATGTGTTTCTTTTCTTCCTGTTGGTTTTGAAACTACAGCTTGCAAACCATACTGGGTACATCAAAGTCGACTGGCAGCGCGTGGAGAAGGACATGAAGAAAGCCAAGGAGCAGCTGAAGATCCGTAAGAGCAACCAGATACCTACGGAGGTCAAAAGCAAAGCAGAGGAGGTGAGACTTACCTTGTTCACGTACAGTGTGTGTAGACACACCAATATGTCGTCCTTACCTGGAGTATCTTCACCTCAGAGGCATTTTCAAAGGTTAAACCCACAAGGATCAATAGAAGGTTTGGTGACTTTTGTTGGCGAGTGAGGGTGCAAAGTGTATACCATGAAAATAGCCATGGACAGTGGGTAGACAAAGACCTGGCATCTCACCTTCTGATCTGTGTCCTGCTTCCTAATAACAATATCCTTAGCAGAATAACTGATGTGCTGTCTTCTGTTCCTAGGTGGTGTCATTTGTGAAGAAGAATGTTCTGGTGACTGGTGGATTTTTTGGAGGCTTTCTCCTTGGCATGGCATCCTAAAAAGGATGACTTCACTTCCAACCAGCAGCCTCTTCACTCCATCGTAGGACACCCAGTCTCTATTCCTCCTCTTCTCCCGTGCCTTTATCCCTGCCATGGCCTATCTGCTGGTACAAGGTGATGCGGCCCTACTGTGAGCTTGATGGCAGTGGAAGACACCATAGACTTAGCTCTCCTCCCAGCCTGCTCCCCACTTGACTAACCTGTAGGTCAGTGAGAATATTCCTTGCTCCCTACGTAAGCTACTTACCAGAATATGGTGCAAGATGGTGGAGGATGAGTGGATCCTCAAAAGTTGTCTCCAGCTTGATTTGGAAGAGAAATAGCAAGCGCATAGAATACCTGATTATGTGCCGCTTGGAAGGGGAATGAATACATTTGCCTTTAAGCATGAAAGATGTTGGTACCCTGGTGTCTGCTTTCTGTTTTAGTAGATTTCAGATTGGCTAGAATTATCCCAACAAAATGGCAGCATATACACTATAATTGAGAAAGCTGAACATGGAACGACCTTGTACTGAAGGTACATGATGCTGAGCTGGAGGCGTAGTCCTTGGTGGGAAGGTCTTTAAGGAGACCACCCAATAGGTGCATTCGTCAGACTGGGCAAATCATTTAGAGGCATTAAGGTATTATCTAGGGATGTTTTCCACCATATGGAATAAGGCATATTGTGGCTGTTTCCAAAGGACTTATTATGGCAAAATTGGTGACTTTAGGTGGAAGAGTGAAGACGCTCTTGGATTTTCTTTAATAGACAAGGTTTTAAAGTGGTGGCATTCCAAGCATTTGAGAATTGAGAACGGTAACGATAGCACATGGGAAATAAACTTTTTACAGATTACATTTCAGGATGACCTCAACTCTTGGGAATTTTCTTTAAAATAAAAGTTTATAGACATGCCCATGCTTAGAAACATAACACATTTTTCTCTAATGGCCTGTTAGAGTGTCTATAACATCCCCTCCAGGAAGGCAAGGCTTCTGTCTTCGGTGTCACACCCAGGGAGCCGAGTGCCTAAAGGTGCTCAGTATTTGTTGACTGTATGAATAATGAACTCATAGAAAAGTATCTGGAAAAGGGACTGATACACAGGATTACTTGAGAATTTGAATCCTGAAAATGCAGAAAACTTGGAATTAACTCTTCAACTTGCAGGTGATATCTCGCAAAATGTATGTTTTTAATGCCTTCCTTTTGAAATGTTTGACTTTTTTCTTGGGAGTGGTGTGTTGAATTTGAAAATTGTAGGTACCAGTGGATGTGTGGGATTTTTTAGAAGTCATTTGCATTTTTCTCCTTATTATGTTATGCTAGTATTTTAAGGCAGCATAAGTTATTTTGCTTGCAGTTTGTATGAATCATCCCTGAGTCATAATGGTATGAGCCACTTTGTTCCGTATTTTTGTACCAGAACTCAAAAAATTTTTTTTCTCTTTTTATTGTGGAAACTTTCAGACATATTACCTATCAAGCAAGATCATTAAATTATAGCTTGTTGATAAAAAAATGCCAAATGTATTGTTTTATCATATTTTGGTGTGTCTTTAAAAGGTTAAGAACTCTTTTTAAACATCATAAAGATGATACCCTATTATCATACCCACATAACCCCACCCAGACCACTGGAATGGGGGCTGCAGAACCTAACAGAGGTGCCCTGTGCCCGTGTGCACTGCTTGTGGGGCGAGTGGCCTTTCCATGTCTGTTCTCCTGTATCAGTGATGACAATGGAGATGAGCAGGTTCATGTGAGCTGCTTCGAGCAGGTTATGAGAGATGATAGAGTGAACTAAGGTCCCTCCCGAGGGTCATGCTCAGATTGCTATCATGGGGTGGCTTCATCTTCTTGCAGTGCGAATGGCCTGGTGAGTGTGCCGATGTTGAACGGTGGCACCTCGGGTTGCAGCTAAGCCGAAGTGTACTTCACTGATGGCAGTTAGGGGAGCTTCCAAATTGAGGCCCCGTTGCCAGCAGCTTTGCTTCAGGTACTGAAAGGAGAGAGACTTCCCCTGAAAGAACCCCTGCCACCCCTTCATGCAAAACCGAGACCCCAGGACCAGGCAACCGCGCCCAGGACTGCTGTGTGTTCATGCGATGGGCAAGGCCTGTGTCATGAGGCGCGTGCTTTCCACTGGTACCCAGAATCCAGGGATATGCGGGGCAGCTTTTCCTTGACTGATGGAGGGACTGAGTGTTTTCAGTCTTGGCTTTGAACGTCTTTGGGGTTTTGGCTCCCTGGGCTGGTGGGGATGGTAACACTACACTTGGGGCTTCCGTGCCTGTAGTTTGGCCTGGCTGGGGAGGACCTCTGACCCTGAGTGCTGCCCGTACCAGCATGGAAACATCCTGTGAGGCTTCTCTCCCTTTTTCTTCCTGGCTCCAGAGCCCCTGTGTGCTCTTTCTGTCCCCCCACCCCCCAGCATCCTTCCTTGTGACGGGACCAGGTAGGATGGGGACTAGCGGCTGATAATGTACAAACAAGACTTTCGTCCTGCTGTCTGGGCTTCTCACCGCTCAGACTCGGACTATCAGCAGCAGGACAGCGGCGGGTCTGGACTCCTGCACCTAGTCTTCCGCTACCTGGTTCAGGAGAGGTGACAGCGCCCCCTACTGGACCTGGCAGAACACAGGACATGAGTAAAGGAGTGAATCTCACATCATTCTCACTGAGATGGTCTTGGAGTGGGTGCTTCTGGTTTTGAAATGCGGTTACTGTTTAATTAGCTGTTGTAAAAATGTTCTCAACGTCATCCTTTGTTTGATATTTGCCAGAAAGATGGACATGACTAATGCTTGGGCTTTTAATGGAAATGTCTACTTTTGTATAGTTTGGTAAATGCAATAAATTTCTGGGTGAAAAAATGGTGTAGGGTTAGATTTGGAATATCTGAGTCTCATTAATGTTTCATGATGATCTCAGTGTCTTCCCTGAGGGAAACGTAAGGCAAAATCTGACAGCTGCCCTCTCTGCTCCCTCCACCAACTTAATCAGCTTCATTTCTTTGTCATGAACCCCAGGTCTGGGGCCATATCCCAAGATCAGACAAGATTGGGCGCATTCAGGGTGGTATGGCTGTTCTGGGGCCTTCTTAATCATGTATTGACTTGCCCAAACTGTCTACCTTTCTGAATGTGAAATGGTAAGAAATGCTTTGAGGATTAGTGAGAGCTGGTGTCTCAGCCTTGGTTGCACACGTGAATCACCTGTGGAAGTTTGAAAACTACTGACACCTGCCTCCCATCCTGGAGATGGATTTCACTGGACTCAGGAACCGGTGGGGCAGCCTGAGTTTTTAACATGTTTCTAAAGAGCAGCCAAAGTTGAGAACCACTGAGATACAGAGTTGGGAGCTGGTGCTAATAAAATTCTAGCTCTGCTGTTAACAAGTGACTACTTAACAGGCCTTTAAAACCTGTTAAAGTAAGTGCCATACAAGTTCAGATGCCTTCCAAATACTGAACATAAATACTATTACAGTTTATTAAATGTAATAGGAATCGTGTGGAGATTCAGTGCTAATCATATCGTGGTCCCTAACACATAAACAACAAAACCCACTCAATAAATGTTCAGCTTCGTTGATGGCTTTTATTTTCTTGTATGTCATAGTAATAGCTAAGAATAAGATTTAAATCAATGTCTGCTTATAGATGTTGCCTTAAACTGAGAAAGGACTGAGTTCAAAGATAGGAAGGAACAATTGATTTGAAGCTTTAGGAGCCCTAAATAAAAGCATATACCTGGGGAAAAAATTAAAAGTCTGAAACTTGAGTAGTTAGCTCAATAAAAATAATTTTGTAATAAAGCACAGGAAAGCAGTCTACTTGATCACGTAGTGATTGCTAATGTCAATCCAACACCACTATCAATTGATAACTTTATTTTTTTAACATTTTTATTGATTTATAATCATTTTACAATGTTGTGTCAAATTCCAGTGTAGAGCACAATTTTTCAGTTATACATGAACATACATATATTGTCACATTTTTTTCTCTGTGAGCTACCATAAGATTTTGTGTATATTTCCCTGTGCTACACAGTATAGTCTTGTTTATCTATTCTACAATTTTGAAATCCCAGTCTGTCCCTTCCCACCCTCCGCCCCCCTTGGCAACCACAGTTTGTATTCTATGCCTATGAGTCTGTTTCTGTTTTGTATTTATGTTC